CTAAAATATGATTTATTGATTGAGATAAAGACATACTGATAACAGTACATTTTGTTCAGAGCCTAACAGTGCACATAGATAAAAAAAAATACATAAAAATAAATTATACCTGCATAGAATAATAGTAGCTAAATACAATTTTTTTGTTTTTAGGATCTAATGATCCCTCTGGCTTACCCAGTTTCCACCAAGTCCCATATCCAAGATTCAGGAAAAAAGGTGCGAACTGTCTTTATGGGTTCTAAGATCTCTTCTGCTTCACCTTCAAAGTCTGCAACTTGTAGGTTTTTTACTACGACCCTGCTTTTGTGAAATCCAAAATGTCCCATATCTAACTCATCAGCTACAGGTTTATTGAATGAAAAGAAGAACAAAGAAGGAAAAGAAAAAGGAGATTAAACAAGACCAGAATGCAATAATGACAGAATTACTTTTTGCAAATATCTGTCATGTCACTATTAACAGACAATAAAGTTGCCATGTATGCATACCATAGTCATGATACACAGTTAACTCAGAAGCCACAATTTTAGAACATTGTAACAATCCGGTAAACATGTTTGTTGCCATCTTCAGTCCCAATGTCTTCATATCCTGTCACACACAGCATGAAAAGGTGAGTTAACAAAGCCTTCATGTGAAATGGGTTGTTCAGTTTTAAGCAACACCGGGACATCAATAGTTCCTTAGAACATAAAAGTTCACAAAGAAGAATATTTTCTCTTTGGACTCACTAGTAAACAATCCATAGGTTCCACAACCTCAGATGGTATTTCTGATACTTTTCTGACAGGCAGCAAATTAAATATCTGAAAAAGAAACACGTTTCAAAGTAATAATCTAGAAACAGATGTTCGCTGAGCAGTTTCAATATGGAAAAATAAATTTAAAGCATTCCCTTTCATCATGTTCATCTGAAAGATGGAAGAAAAAAACCTCCTAATATTTAGGAGTTACCTTCTCTGCATCCAGAGTCTTTCCAGGCTCCTTGATGAGGACACTCTGATCGATGGCACTGACACCGCATAGAGAGTCAGGCTGAGCCGTCAGCTGCAGGTTGGTCTCCTCTCCTGGAACAGCTGATGATGAAGAAAACTCCAGAGAGACCTGAGAACGAGCAGAACAATGGCTGTTGTGTTTTTAATTAAGATATTTTATTTTTAATTAAGATATTTTATTTTTAATTGGAAGATACCAAAAGTCATCACAGTCATTTGTTCTTATTATATTTAATAATTTTCTCTCTCCAGTCTCTCCTTATGTGCTCCCTCTCTTATGCAAATATTTGACACAAATAGAAGAAAACATGATGACATAAATAGTTTGACATGACTAAGAAGCTTCAAAATCAAGAAAATAAAAACACACACATATATACATATACACACTCTCCTATATGTACATATGCACTTGTAATGTATACATACATAAATATATGTAACCTTGTGGTTGTTTATAAATTTGTGATTTATAATGAAATTCACATTATCGTTATGTTGATACAACATATAGTGACTTGTTGAAGCCAAACTAAACGGATCGCCAAGAGAGTTCTCCATCAGACATCTTTGGTATCGTCATAAATCTGTGAGTCTTTTCACAGATTCATCTAAATCCATACTTACCTTATGGTTAAAGCATTTCTCAGTGGAGAAGTCAGTACTTTGACTGATCACCTTCTTGCTGGGTAGGACAGCGTAAACCATAATCTGGACTTCTGGAGCCAAGTCTGGAGACACGTTGAGCTTAAAGGACACCTCACCTTCATTCACTGAAAAATCAGTCCAAATGTTATCCTTGAATTGTTGTCATTGAAACTGAATATTTATAATACCATCAAGTATTTCTTGGCTGTACAAATCTAAAACTTGGTAAGGTTGATATTCCATTTATTCACCTGATTTATTTTCCACCTCAACCAGTATTCGTCCTTGACTGGCAATAGCTCCTTTGGAAAAACCTTGAGAAGTTAAAAAAAAAAAAAAAAAAAAACTTTTTTACTGTATTTCCTCACTAACTGATTGTAGATCTATCCATCTAACCATTCATTGTGCCCTAGTTGTTGCAATGAAATGTCTTTCACTTTTTTAGTTACTACTATGGGTGTGTTTTAAATTCTGATCTGATCAATAATCTAGAATATTAATGTTTTATTTATCATTAACATATTTGTATTGTGACACATTATACAGGTCATTTTTAATTTATCACTTCTAATGGATGGTTTAAGCACAATTTCTCTACTGGCTAATTTCTAAACCTTGACTTAGTCGCTAAGCATACAACTCTGTGTGTGTGATTTCTTCTTCTGAAAACAGAAACAATCTGTGTTTTATTTTGTGATACTACTCACCAGGTAAATGAAATCCACAGAGCCTGGAGATTCCTGCACCAAAGTGTACTCAATAAAGATCTCTGTTTCTTTGTCACAGGGAAGTATTGTCTTGCTTTTTATATTCAGGGAGCTGGTTGTTTTAACAGATGGAGGTTGAGACTTT